AGGTTTATGAGGAAGTTACTGTTAGGGTTAGGACGCGGGAATATTCACCCTTCCTGGACTTCTGCGTAAGACCACCTTACTTACCTTGGCTCCGTGCCCCGTTTAAGGAGCTACAGAAATAATCCTTACTCCTGCGCCAACGCCATGACGCAGGCCCGCATTCCCCTCTTCACCAATTGGCAGCAGCCGGACGAAGACTCGAGCGGATGAAATTCGATTGACTCAATTGCTTTTAGAGACAACCTACGACAACTGTTTGCAGATCCTCCTATGTACTCTGTTCTAACATTTTGCTCATCCTCCGATGGGTTCCCCGATCTCCGGTTTACTGGCAGAACTGGTCCTACAAGAGCTAGAAAGCACCACCTTCCCCAAACGTAAGCCCATCTTTTGGCGTCGTTACGTTGACGACACTTTTGTTATCACCAAGAACAGCAGGCTGGAAAACTTCAATAACATGCTCAGTGGAATCTTTCCTTACATACGATTCACGAGAGAAGAAAAAAAGCAGTACCTGCCTTTCCTCGATGCCCAACGCTGAAATTGAGACGATGGTTTACAGAAAGGCAACGAGCACAAGATAACTTCTCAGTTTCCACAGCATTCATCCAGTTGTTCACAAACGGAACTGTGTAAAAACGCTCTTTAAACGGATTCAGATCCACTGCAGTACGCCGGAGGAAAAGGTACGCGAAGCCCGATATCTCCGCGACCAATTTATGCGTAATGGTTATCCAAAGTCATTTATAAACCGATGTCTACGTGTTCGACCCCAAAGGACCCAAACGGAGGAAACACCGAGGATATGGCACGCTCTGACATACATCAAGGACGTCGCAGAAGCGACTGAGCACATCGCTGCGGGACTAGATGTTGGAATTGCACACAAACCTGAGGCTACCATACGCAACCGGGTAGTAAAAATAAAAGAACGGCTGAACTCCTATGAACAATTTGGGGTAATGTATGTCATCTTATGCCTAAGCTGTCCTTGTAATTATTCAGGGCAAAGTGAACGCATGCTCGGTTCGCCCATACACGAACATAAGCTGGCTGTCAG